TGGGGATGGCCTCATGATGGCACTACTGGACCTTGTCCAGACAGTGTGGAATGCAGAGCGGGTGCCCCAGGAGTGGGTGGACTGCCAGCTTGTCCCGATACCAAAAAAAGGAAATCTATCCAGCTGTGACAATTGGAGGGGCATCGCTCTTCTGGAGGTGGTAGGAAAGGCTGTTGCTGGCCTCGTCCAGACAAGATTGCAGCGGCTCGCGGAAGACATCCTGCCAGACACGCAGTGTGGATTCCGCAAAGGCAGATCTTGTGCGGACATGATCTTCGCGGTGAGACAAATATCTGAGAAACTATATGAACATCGCTGCTCTGGTTTCATGGTTTTTGTTGATCTACGGAAGGCCTATGATTCCGTCACCCGTAAGTGCATGTGGGAAATTCTCCGGAAGGCGGGCGTACCTGACAAGCTGGTTACCATTATCAGCTCATTTCATACCTCTATGTCTGCAAACCTGTCGATCCCGGGCATCGAGGCCGAGCCTATTGAGGTGCAAAATGGCCTTCGACAAGGTTGTTGTATGGCCCCAGTATTGTTCAATATATTCATGTGGGCAGTATTCCAGCTGTGGCAGCGTGAGGTTGCGGACATACCTGAGATTGGACTTCCCGTCTCCTCTAACTCTGGACCGTCTCTCCTTTTCAAACGCCAGAAGACTGACACAATCAACATCCATCGTGACTGTCAATTCGCAGACGATTCGGCACTTATTGCTACAACTCACCATGGTGCCACACTTGCGCTCAGCCGGTTCATGGACGTCGCTACTCGCTTCGGCCTCACCATCAACCTATCAAAAACCAAAGTAATGGCGGTCGGCTTCGGCATTTCTCCGGAGGATCGTCGTCCATTGGTGGTTGGCGGGGAAATTGTCGAGAATGTGCATGACTTTCGCTACCTAGGCTCCATCATCCATACTGGTGGCCGCACCGCAGTGGACACTCGGTCCCGAATAGCATCAGCATCTAGGGCATTCGGAGCATTGCGTCGATCTGTCTTTGATGATGGCGATCTTTCACTGGCAACGAAGCGAATGGTGTATGATGCATGTGTGGCTTCTCTTCTCCTTTACGGAGCGGAGTGTTGGGTACCACTGAAAAGCGAGCTTGCGGAGCTGTCCGCCTTCCATCTTCGCTGCATTTCCGCAATCTTAGCCCTCGGTAGAAGAGACACCTGGGACTTCCACATCAACAGGAAGACCATTCTGGAGGCCTGGAATCGTCGAGATCCAGTGGATATTACCACACGTGTTCTTCGCCGCCGTCTGGAGTGGCTAGGCCATCTAGCTAGGATGGATGGCGATAGAACTCCGCGCCAGCTCCTGTTTGGTGCGCTCCTTCCGCCGAGGCCGGCTTGCGGTCCTCGGAAACGGTGGCGAGACTCTGTCAGAGCTGACCTCTCCGCAGTGAACATCGACCACACGGAATGGTACGACCTCGCCCAGGAGCGTGGGAAATGGCGCAGTGCGTATTCCGCTCAACCAGTACCGCGATCGGCTCAGCGTGACACTTCTGTGCTCTGCGATGTTTGCCAGCGTACTTTCGCCCACCAGAAATACAAGAATCGCCACAAGTGCCTGGCCGAGAGGAGGAAGCCCATATCTGAGCAGTCCGGCAGCCGACTATGTAATGCGTGCGGGAGATGGTTCTTGAGTGCTGGCGGGCTAGCTTCGCATAAGTGTCTCTCCAACTCGGCTGCTGAAGTGGCGTCGGTCTCGGCTGTGGCATCGGCAGACTCGGTCCGGAAACGGCGGGTTGCCCTGCCCTGCTGCAGAGCGCATTGTCTCGGCTGCGGTCGCTGCTGCAAGTCATCCCGTGGTTTCGACCTGCATAGCTGTGCTAATTTCCTGTCCAGGAAGTAGAGCGGCGTTTCTGGGTCCAATGCTGAACTCAGTGCTGTCGACCCCTGCACAGGGGACACGTGACCATTTGATGGCAGTGTTACCAAGGACCAAGGTGTGTGTGTGTGTGTGTGTGTGTGTGTGTGTGTGTGTGTGTGTGTGTGTGTGTGTGTGTGTGTGTGTGTGTGTGTGTGTCCAACCTGTCGGAAGGCTACCCTCTTGCCAAAGCATTTTGGAAGTTGGACTAGTTTCGGCTCCACAATCCAGTGTGTCGTTACTATAGCTTTTACGGCTGAGGTTGTTGGTACGTCTGTTGGCCCTGGGTTCCCAGTACCCAGTTGCCGAGGCTGGTTGGTAAAATAACTCCAATTTCACTTCAAGGTGCCAAGGCATCTAGTGTCTGCTTTTATCAAAGCAGCGTGCTGTCTACACTGGTTACCCCAGCAAGTGTAGGGTGTGCATAGGTAACTGTCTTGGCCGTCCTATTCCGATGTACTCCGTGTGGTGTAGGCCAGGTGTGCATTGGGGGGGGGGGGGGGGGGTCGATTCACATGGCTTCGCCAGTTGTGTGGATTTGTAATTTGAGAATCGCCGACCCAAGCGTAAATCACAAGAGGTCATTTTCTCTTTGTGCGGCAACTGACCGGTTTCATCTTTTTGGTAAAGGATCATCAGAGTGAAAGGAGAAAAGAAAATACATGCTATTAGTAGGGCCAATTCACTTGGCCAAAACTAACTATGATCCAAGTGGACCCATCAAAGCCGCTGGGAGCCCACATAAAAGAGGCGCAGGGGTAGGGGTAATTGAATTGTGATCATGAAAGCATGCAAATGTGAAAGGTGCCGTGTTTGGACTATAGTATAAATTTTGTTATAATACAGTACACGGGAAGTTTTGGCAGTGTCCAAATTTGGACACTGCCAAAAATTGTAATTTGAGAACCCCCGACACAAACGTAAATCACAAGAGGTCATTTTCTCTTTGTTACTGACCGGTTTCATCTTTTTGGTAAAGAAGTAACAAAGAGAAAATGACCTCTTGTGATATACGCTTGTGTCGGGGGTTCTCAAATTACAATATTTCTAAGTACTCTGATGATTCTTTACCAAAAAGATGAAACCGGTCAGTAACAAAGAGAAAATGACCTCTTCTGATTTACGCTTGTGTCGGGGGTTCTCAAATTACAATAGTACAGCTATCTGGCGCTTGTCTTGATCTGTTTCAATCAGAATCAGATCCGCTATCGTTGCTACGTCATGGCATTAGTGACTGGCCCCGATGAAGTGCGCATGATCCAGCACCTACTGTTCCACACACAAATATCAGTGAAAGTAGGAAAGGCAACTGCCAATCCGTTTCTCAGCACCATCGGCACCCCCCAGGGAGATGGCCTGAGCCCTGTTCTTTTTATTTGTTACCTGGAGGCAGCACTGCGCCAAGTGAGAGCAAACCTTCCCGAACGCCCTTTCGCCGACCGTCACATACCCGGAGAAACAGGTTACGCCGATGATGTGACATTGTACTCAACCAGTGAGGAGTGGCTGAAGCGAAGCCTCCCCATCATTAGCGCAGAACTCGGGGATTGGTCCCTTACAGTAAACGAGACCAAGACCGAATTCTTGCATCTGACATCAACTTCAGACTCCTGGCGGTCCAGCAGGCAGCTAGGGTCCCTCATTGGCGACAGTGAGGACCTGGAGCGGAGGAAAGACCTCGCTTCGAGTGCATACGGCAGGATGTATAGCCTCTGGCTGAGGCGTGGGAAGGTCAGTGAGCAGAGGCGCATCCGCCTGTATAATGCCTTGGTTCTGCCCGTTCTTTTGTATAACTGCGGCGCATGGGGGCTCACGGCAGCACAAGCAGAATCGCTTAACGTTTTCCACCGGAAGCAGCTCCGACGGCTCATTGGCATAGTCTACCCAGCCAGGATATCAAATACTGAGCTGTATGAGAGGTGCAACACGGAACCACTATCTGACATCGTGGACAGGAGAAGATGGCAGCTAACCGGCCATATTCTCCGTATGGACAGGGATGCGCCGCCATGGATCGCGCTGACGGGCTATTTTGCGGGAGATGCCAAGGCTGGGCGTGGACGTCCAAGGACATCCATTGCGACGCGCATCACAAGCGACTTACAGAGGAGGAACATCGACTTGAAGCGCAGCAGTCAGCTGGGGAATGTGAGGGCCATCGCTCTGGACAAGCCTACATGGAGAAATCTGGCCGACAATCCATGATCTGGCGTCACAGGTCATCAGTGCGCCGTGTTAATAATTACCTTGATAATGGAATTTGATCATAGGAGATAGGACAGAAGCGGAACGTATAATTATACCCACATAATTATATTATTACGCGTGCTGTGGTATTATTATTATTATTATTATCGTTGCTATAAAGAGAAAATATGTGGGTGCACATCCAGTGCATTTGCAGATTTGCGTGCTTCTCTTGCGACGGGTGCATACATGGTGCATGGTACAGTGCTGGCAACTGAAATCCGGGGGGTCGGATTTCAGTTGCCAGCACTGTACATGGTGTGTGTATGTGTGTGACCAGCGAGGGCGTGAGACAAGGTGGCTTGGAGGTGACTTTGCGAATGACCCCTCTCTCTCTCTCTCTCTCTCTCTCTCTCTCTCTCTCTCTCTCTCTCCTCTCTCTCTCCTCCCTCCCTCCCTCCCTCTCTCTCTCTCTCTCTCTCTCTCTCTCCCTCCCTCCCTCCCTCCCTCCCTCCCTCCCTCCCTCCCTCCCTCCCTCCCTCCCTCCCTCCCTCCCTCCATCTCTCTCTCTCTCTCTCTCTCTCTCTCTCTCTCTCTCTCTCTCTCTCTCTCTCTCTCTCTCTCTCTCTCTCTCTCTCTCTCTCTCTCTCTCTCTCTCTCTCTCCCTATCCTTTTCGCGGCCTTCCTCTCTCCCTCCCTACCTCCCTTCCTTCCTCCCTCCCTCCCTCCCTCCCTCCATCCAACACACAGTTATACATACCGATATACATGTTCACTCACAAACACCCCAAACTGGCCTCTAAGCCAAAGGCTAACACTGCTCCTCCACTACTAGGCACTAGCACCCTGCCCACTCACACAGTCGCGAGCATTGGTGAACTGGGCACTGGCTAAGCTACCACGCACACAACAATGGCTTCCTGCGAACTAGATTGCATTGAATAAGTTGCCTTACAACACTGATGACAACGGTGCTGACTCAGGATATTGTTGATGATGAATACACAAACAAACCTAACAAAACTAACACAGCTAAACAAAGAAACTTCGAAGCAGGAATGCTAGCATCCAGAAAGGGTGTATGATAATTGACAATAGAATGACGACAGGGCAAGCTCCTGCAAAATAACATCTTTGGTCGATGGTGTTGAAAGCAAGGAAACCAATACCGGAGACGTCATGGGAGTGGGGTGATGAAAACACGCACAAAAACGAGGGGAAGTGATGAGAGAGAGAGAGAGAGAGAGAGAGCTGGCAGAACAATACATAGAGCAATTGGCAGGGGCCTTGCGTAAGTAAATCAATCAGGAAACAAATTGTGTACAAATAGATGAGAAGTAATGTATCGGAGTCGATTCGGGGGCCCACCGACTTACGGGTCAAGCTCGTACACTCCGTCGGTGTCATCGATGAACGGAGCGGCGGCCGGAGAGGCGCCGAAGGAAGACGGCATGATGCTGTAGGCGTTGAAGTTTGCTTGCTCACCCCTGCCACCACCACCACCAGTGTTGTTGGCCAGTTGGTCATACTTCTGGTCGTCGTTGCGTCGCAGCTGCGCCAGCTGCTGATTGGCTGCTTGATTGGCACCAGCTGCTCCCATTACGCTGTTGGCCTTGCCACCCGGGCCAGGACGCCGTGCCGTGGAGTAGCGTGCCGAGCCACCGCCACCACCGCCTGCTCTCGGCGATGGCGCTCTGGCTGAGCGGGAGCGCTGAAGGGAAGCGCTGGTCCCACGCCCGCCATCGCCTCGCCTCTGATAGGAGCCGGCGTTCGAGTTGTTTCTCATCTTGCCAGGCGAGGTCATCGGCTGCAGTCCGCTTAGATTTGTGGCAGAACGCACGCGACCAGCGCCCGTCAGTTGACTAAGCATCGACGGGGGCGGGGGCAATTCTGTACTCTGCTTGTGGCCCGGCAAGGCGCTCACACAGATCGACTGAGTGGAGTAGTTCTGGTTGTACAGCGACTCGTCCACATCCGCGGCTTCCATCTTAACGGTCATGAGCGACGGTGTCATTGAAAGGCGATGTTCGGATGCTGCTTTCGCCGCTGTCCCCGACTCCCCTGGCCCAATTGAGCCAGTGCTGTAGCAGTTGTAAAGTTCATTTGCCTGCATGCTGCCGATGTTATGAGCCGCAGCCTCGAGCTCTTGTTCAATTGCGTTCACGTCAAAGTTCATGGCAGGTGGATCAGGCATGTTCATTGCCTCGTAGTTTTCCTGAGGTTCGTTTTCGGCGTAGAAATTCTCCGTGCACCTTGGGTCCAGTGAGACTTCGTAATGCTGCGGGGTGGTGGAGCGAGACTCCAGCGCCAAGTCCGCTGCTGCTGGTTCATGTTCCGACACGGATGCCATGTACAATGCCAGCGAGTGCGGCGGAGCGTCCGAGCACGGGTTGGGCAGAGGTGCAGGAGTGTTGTCGGCACGCTCTACCGGCGGCCGTTGGAAGCTGTCCCTGCTGGCCAGTGGCGTGGAGTTGGCGTAGCGGTCAATGACCTTCGGTATCGGACCTCTGCCACCGGGCACGGGCCTTCCACTTGGCGAGCGCTGGGGCGGTCGACGGTGGGAGCCGCTGCGATCCACGCCGGCACCGCGTATGGCATCGGCACCCAGCTGCATGGTGTTGACCGGCATGGCCTCGTACAGGTCTCCGTCATCTCCCCCGGCCGCCGACGCCACCGCGTTCATGTCAAGATCGGCCGTGTCGATGCGCTGGATGCCCGGGTGGTGGCGCTGGCCAGGGATGTCTGCGTACGTGTCCAGCTCGCCGGCGTTGCTCGGCCAGAACTGGCTACCGGTGGTCACGTTGCTCTGCCGCACCTCCGGCCGGTCGTACTCAAACTGAACTGTCGACGCGCTCATGCTCGGTTTAGCCGACATCATGCTACCAGCGCCGGCGTGCAGGGGTGACTCGGCGCCGTACATGCCGTTGGCGTTGTCCCTGCTCAGCTGGCGCATGCTGGCCTTGCTCTCCAGTCGGTGCTGCCGGGTGACGTTGTGCCGATGCATGAGCAGGGCAATCACGCTCACAATGAGCAGGACGCCCACGGCAGATGGAGCAATGATGATTATAGGGATGCTCGAGGAGTCGCTACCTCCAGCCATGTTCACTCCTGCAGTGAACAGACACAGGGAAACACCACAGATACAGCATTCAGTCACAGTAGCTCTCTAGAAGTAGATTGAACACGAACATGGTTGTATCCAGGTGCTAGTAGAGGGTTCTTGTACTTGCACGACTGGAGCTTGTCCTCTGTGTGTGTGTGTGTGTGTGTGTGTGCGTGCGCGTGCGTGTGTGTGTGTGTGTGTGTGTGTGTGTGTGTGTGTGCCAGCTAGTTCGGTTGGTGGGCACACTTATGCCGGATAGTGTTGGGTCCGTTGCCAACGGGCTCGGCTGCTTGAAGGTGTAATGTTGTACCTACCACCTTTGTTGGTTTCAGGGTTCATCTACTTTCTATTTGAAGTATACATACCTGTTAACCATGGACTACTTCTGGCTAGATTAACTCTTGTGTAATCAATGGTGCTAGTGAAGCTTGTATCAGATCCACTCTGATTTAGCCACCCACACTAGTAGCAAGTATTACCTTCACTGGGGGCAGGGGTAACTGCAGTTGGATCCCGGGACGGATACCCTGATGCCGTCAATCCTTTTTCTGCACCTTGTCCTCACCCATTTACTGAGGTGTGGTGAGCCCATAAGTGGGATCATTTTCAAGTCCACCCAGAGTTTTGGGGATTTCAGGGGGTGTCAGATGTTGGGTGGTTCAATAGCCAATTGAGTCATCTTTCCAAGATTCCTTTTGAGTCTCTCTCCCCTTTCCCGGGGAGACCTACGTGACCAGTTTTGGCAGTGAGCAACAAGTACAAGTACAAGTGTGTGTGTGTGTGTGTGTGTGTGTGTGTGTGTGTGTATGTTGGCCCTGGGTTCCCAGTACTCAGTAGCCGAGGCTGGTTGGTAAAGTAACTCCAATTTCACTTCAAGGTACCAGTGCATCTAGTGTCTGCTTCTATCAAAGCAGCGTGCTGCCTATACTGGTTGCCCCAGCAAGTGTAGGGTGTGCATAGATAACTGTCTTGGCCGTTTTATACCGATGTAGTCCGTGTGGTGTAGACCAGGTGTGCATTGGTGGTCGATTCACATGGCTTCGCCAGTTGTGTGGATTAGACAGTTATCTGACGCAAGTCTTGATCTGTCTCATTCAGATCTTGTTCGCTATCGCTGCCATAAGAGGAAATCTGTGGGTGCACATCCAGAGCATTTGCAGATCTGTGTGCTTCTCTTGCGACGGGCGTAGACATGGTACATGGTGTGTGTATGTGCATGTGTGTGTGTGCATGTGTGTGTGTGTGTGTGTGTGTGTGTGTGTGTGTGTGTGTGTGTGTGTGTGTGTGTGTGTATGTTTGCCTCTGGAACCTTCGGAAGCGTCCGCGCCGGTATCACCTATTCCGCTCAACGTCCCAGCTTCTCTCTTGTGTGTGACATGCAATCGGCAATTCAAGTCAGTGCCTGGTTTCAGACATCACAAGTGCGACCGTGGCCATCGAGCAACCGAGTCTGATAGAGCGTCATATGGTGTTCGCTGTTCTCGCTGCAACCGTCAGTTCCGTCGACAGAGTGACCTGAGTCGTCATCTCCGTTTCTGCTCCTGACAATGACTCTGGCTCCTTTCGGAGTGGTGTGGCCCTTGTGGCAACCAAGCTACAGTAGAAGTATGTGTGCATGTGTGTGCATGTGTGTGAGTGTGTGTGTGTGTGTGTGTGTGTGTGCATGTGTGTGTGTGTGTGTGTGTTTGTGTGTGTGTGTTTGTGTGTGTGTGTGTGTGTGTGTGTGTGTGTGTGTGTGTGTGTGTGTGCGAGCGTGCGTGCGTGCGTGAGCATGTTGTGCATGCGGATAGTCTTAAAAGATGTTAAAACATCTTTTGCCAAATTTCAGTGTGACCCGAAAGCGGAATCCATTCGCCGAGTGCTTTCGCCTCGTACCTAGATCTCATTAAAAACAATATCTTGATGCCTAGCGCATTTTGCCTTCCAGCTCTTCAATGCACGTATATTTCGTTATCAATAGTGAACTCATGAATCTGGGCCATGGGGCTTTTCTACTTTTTTTCATTTTTTTAACACAGCCCTCCTGGAAACCTTGCAGAGAACAAAAAGAGACAAGGAAAAGGACAAAACAAGGGGGGGGGGGAGGGGGTGTAGGGACAACGTGCCGATGTGCTGCGAACAACTCGACCGCATGCCTGCCAAGTACTGAGAGTGCTTTTTCTAGGGGTGAAACGGTTACTTTAAGGTAACAAACGGGCATCTGGCTTAACGGGCGGGTTATCGGGTACCCTTTATCCGCCATACCTTTTCCAAAAACGTTGCTTTTGCTTGTGATCGTAAGCGCAACATGTCTTTTGCAGGCATCCTGATAGGAGAGAGATTTTCGGGCAACAATTGCTACAGTAGCCTTCCGGATTTCACGCCAGGAGGATATGCGAAGTCATACAAGTACACTACACCGTGATAAGCACAGTGTGCACAATCGCTGCGCTGCATGCTTACAGTCGAAATTGTCATAGCTACAATGGATACCGTGATATGTAGCAGGATTGAACGAGGAAAAACACACTCAAAACTGTGCACTGAACTGTACAGCTGTACAAGCAAGCTTCTAAGACTGTACCCTACAATCCTACACGACTATCGAGTACCGTACTGGCAATATATGTTGCCGCAGCGAGGCCATGAAGCGTTACATTGGCACATGTTTGCCGCACGCAGGGCGTTACATGCAAAGTCGCGCAGGAGCCGTTACACAGGTTTCTATATTGCCGCAGTCCTTTTTTTGCTATTGCCGCATCACTTTTGTGCTATTGCCGCATCATTTTTTTGCTTTTGCCGCATCATTTTTTCTTGTGCAGTGCAAACTGCAATGAAAAGATCGCCGCACCTCGCCGGACGCGCGTTACGAACTCAACGAAAATTTGTCGCACTAGCCTGGTCGTGCGTTACGCCGCACCCCCCTGCGTTACGCGTTACGCGGCAACATATATTGCCAGTACTGTACTCGTTTGCTAACGGATCAGCGGCTAAACAGACGGTTACCCGGGTTACCCGATCACCCCTAGCGTTTTCTGGATCGCCAGTGCAAAATCTCGGGATTTGCCTTGGTTTTTCGGAATACGTCACATTTTTCCAAAACTTCATTTTCAACTTTTTTGAAATGATGACACCAACATGTTGTGACATTATCAGTGACTACCCGTGTAGATATTCACCACATGATACGCAAGTTCAGGACTCAAAACGGAGGTGATTCACGGACAGTTCATGGAAGGAGCACTAGTAGATCCACTGGTACTACAGCTATGGCGGTACAGAATCAATAAGGATGAGTAGACAAACCACTTGAAGTGGTCCAAGAACAATACCAAGACGTGTTTTGTGTACAGTGATTATCAGGATAATCGACAGGAATTTCGGGATCATGGGAGCTCATCCAATATTGCAGGATAGTCCCGAAAAAAATCAGGATACTTGGCAGGTATGCAACCGGCCAGATGTCTCGGCATCAGCATTACAACCAGGCATCGAAAGGGAGAGGGGTATTGCACAAGAAAACTGCACAAAAAAAAACGGGCTACTGCATTTACCTCGGCATGCGCTGGTTCCGTTCCATACGCCCGACAGCTCAGTTCCCACGGAGCAGGTGAACGTGCCGGGACCGGTGAGCGTGGCGTCCAGTTCACAGGTTAGCTTGGCCACTGAGTTCAGTGCGGTCACCGCCGGGTAGGTGATGTTTCCGCTGGCGGCTGGTTTGGACGTACCGCAGTAATTCTCCCTCGCTATGCAAGGCCACACGAACGTCAAGAGAACACAACAGACAGATCTGCGTCAAAGAAAGTGGTGCGTGAGACTTCACACACAGACATTGCGGTCCACTGAAGTCCAGCCTCAATTGCAATCTATTTTTTACAACCAAACCTTCCACTGCCGACAGCAAAAAAGGGAAACGTTACACACTACGGCAAAGAGAGTGATGGCATGCAAACTGGAAGCCTATGCCCGTTACGCCCTTGCGTTTCAACACTACTCACGTTCACAAGTGGCTATTTTACTCCAAGTGCCACCACTGGAATCTGTAGCGTTGCACGTTGCCGTCAGACTGTCGTTGCTCGGTGCGTAGCCATGGTTACACGACAGCTGGGCGGCTGTTTGGACTCGCCGGTTTCCCAGATAGGTGAGCTTGCCGTTGGCTATCACTTCATCCGGGCAGTAGTTTGTCGAGACTGGTAGCAAGGACAGAAGACACAATAGTACACAACAGTTCATGGGAGGGTCTGTCACTCCTCAGGACAATCCTGTGTTCTGATTTATCAATAAGCATCCCCTCCCCCCCCCCCCCCCCTCTCCTCCCCTGCCCTGCTCTGCACCACTAAAAATTCCCCGGGTCATTTCCTTGGTGCCTAATATATTGGCGTTTGACAGTGCATGCACGGCTGGAAGCCTTGCAGTCTTGGAGCCCATGTCGTATCAATAAGCAAGATTCAGTTGCAACTCAGAGCTCCGAGCCGCCAGCTACCTTCGATGTGATATATTGCAAAAATGAAAACAACGGGTGTCTGCAATAATATGTACTACTGTAAGTAGCCGCCACTCTTGCCCTGAACTAGTCCCTCATATTTCCTGGTTCACGAATATACCTGGAGGATTAGAAAGACGAATAACGTAGCTATGACAAGATGATGACAAAAATTAATGGCGGAGGTCCATGGCGCAGGGCAGAAACGGCTTTCTTCGAGAACTCGAGAGAACAACCACCCACCTTAGGAGGCCATTGTTTTTGGAGACAAGCAAAAGAGGGTAAGTCTGGTCAACACGAAATGAGATAGACCGGACAGCACTATCTCGTCCTGCTACACTGCAAGAGGCTGAATTTGCGTCCCCAGATGCCCCGTGTGCTGAGGGGCTTGCAGCACCACTCCTCCTCCCCCCCCCCCCCCACACACACACTGTCACACCCCCACCCCCACCAGGTACAGTAGAGTCGCGCCCCCAAGAACGTTGTTTCGAAGGGGTTAGCCTGGGATGTTCTTCTTTTTTCAGCAATCTGGCTGCGTTCTTATAGCACGTTCTTAGAAACAGTGTGTACTGGATCATACGTATCCCACAAACTGCCAGAAAACCAACACTGCCGTTCTTAGCTTTAGGTTGTGGCGTTCTTAGCATTTCCGGCTGGACGTTCTTGGGCTCCACGTTATTCAACACGCGGCTCTACTGTACGGGGAATTCGAGCCGTGCATTGATTTTCGAGGCTCTACTATTCATTACTACCCTGGGGTAATGATAGCACGCGAGTAATACTATCTGTAGTACAAGGCCGTTGAGATCTGACAAGAGCACAAACTCTAGCACTGTGATATCAGCACAGTGTGCGGTGACGATGGCAGCAGCGGCATAAATGGCCTAGTACTCGAAACGAAACTTCTATTGGATTTGTGTGAAGTGCAATGCTCTCTTGAGTGTACTTCGAAGTGGGCAGGTTGCCTGCAAACTATTCAAGTGCAATGAAGCTGCGTGAAATGTTGTCCTTCAGGATTTTGAAACAGCACTTATTTAGAAAGGAAAAGGACATATGGATACGAGTTAAGAGTAACTCTCCATCACTGTAACCAGATACTATGACATGCAGTCAGAAAGTGCAAAGACTAGGCACAAAGCTGACAGAGTGATGGAGAGTTACTCTTAACTCGTATCCATATTTCCTTTTCCTGTCTAAATTTATTATTGGCTCAACATCCGAGTTTCAAATACAGGTCCTCCCTCATTATAACGAGTCCGGTTAGTACATAAACCCCGTTAGTAAATAGAAATCTGAAATCCCCTGGCGAAACGTGGTCTATACAACTGTTTACAGGTCCGGTTACAACATAATCCATTAGTACATAAAATCCGTTATAACGACCCTTTGCCCAGGTCCTGGAGTGCCAAACCCTCAGTATAAGATAATATTGACCATGCAGGACCAAGGCCAATACATGTAGGATAAAGCAGAACGAGGAAGCGTATCATGTCTATGTATTCGTGAATATGGACGATCCTTTGCATCCAAGGAAGAGTTATGTTGGAGATTTTCAATTATCTTATAACGAGTTGAAGCATCGATAATTTATGTTGTATCGAGGGTAGCCCCGGTAAGTACGAAGTAGTGCCTATTTCACCTTTAGCTGCAAGTCCTGCTACAAGATAAGTCTCGTTATAAGATAACTTTTTCGATGGCCCAGAGATTATCTACTAACGAGGGAGGACCTGTAGCACTTATTTACTTATTTATTTAGACATCTCCTGGCAGACCGGCGGCACGTCAAGAGACGGCAAACTAATCAGTTGAGATGAAGGGTGAGAGTCAGCCATGGCAGAATAGATTATACGAAGAAACTTACTTTCACACGTCGGCGTTCCACTCCAGTCACCGTGAGCAGTGCTGAAGATGTTGCACGTCACCACTGCACTGCCGGCCTTGGGCGTGTAGCCATTATCGCAGGACAGCTTAGCGGTGCTCTGAAGCTGCCGATTTGCACTGTACGCGAGTTGCCCGTTGTCCGCCGAAACCGTCGGGCAGTAGCCGGGGATAGCTATGAAGGAAAGTCACCACACCATTCATATACACAGTATTAGTGGCCTGGCCTCAGTGGCCTGTTCTCATAGCATTATATGCACTAAAACAAACCTGCCTGGCAGGGGAATTCCCTAAAGACAAAAACAGTCAGCCGATGCCCCAGGCACCATCACTCGCCTCCTGTCACCCATCACCATCACTCGCCTCCTGTCACCCATCACCATCACCACCACCTGCATATAATGGAATTGCATGATTTGCAGTTCATTATAAAGTAATCAATCTTCTCCTTCGATCTTGTAGAAAGGAATTCGATTACATGCATCAGCACCACCATCACCATCACCATCACCAGCACCAGCACCACCAGCACCAGCACCACCTCCAGCACCACCAGCACCACCAGCACCAGCACCACCAGCAGCACCAGCACCTGCATCAGCACCAGCATCAACACCAGCATCAACACCAGCATCAGCATCAGCATCACCAGCATCACCAGCACCACCACCCATTTCCATGCTGTGTTTATTGTAGCTTGAGCAATCTGACTTTGGTGCCTTGAGCCGGGCTTAAAAATGCTTTCGTGTGCATTCAAGCGAGTAGCATCGCCGTTGGAGATGGTCTGGCCAGAGGGGGGGGGGGGGGGGGGGGGGGGGTGCGGGGTCTCCCCCAGGAAAATTAGAAATTAGGGTGCAAAATCCTGCATTCTGGGCACTTCTGGGCATAGCGGCCCTGGAATTACACTTCTTTGTGATGTCAGAGTGCTAACAGTTTTGCACTCTCAAGCTGAGACTGTTGAGCACCACAATTTCCTGATGGATACTCAAAGCAAAAACAAATACTCCAGTGGAGACAGATTTCATTCCAGTGGACGTGCGTGCATACAGCTTTGGCATGCTGAAGAGCGCAGCAGCAAATTCTCTAGCATACCAGAGCTGTCAACCAGCTCGGTCTGTTTTCCGTACTGCGACTTCAGACTTTCCGTCTTATGCAATGTTTTTGCGTACTGCCAATGTGCTGCCGTGTGCATTGCTTGTATTGAGTACGTTTTGACACTCACATGCTTGGCGGTGGCTGGATTTGCCTTGTGCAAAACATTTGTGACTTTTGCCAAGACATTATTTTTGTACCATATGTAGTCGAAGCACGGCATGCGCTCGCTTTGGCGTACGGATATTTATCGCTCAACTTGCGCTTGCCATGCTTCTACAAACATACATGCAGCTGGAGCTGATCCAATCCCATCAATTTTCTGTACCTTTCAGCGTACAAATACGGAAAAAACACGGAAGGCTGCCAGCACTGGCATACCGTTATCAAAGG